GGTGCGGTGCGGGGGGATGTGGTCCGCTTAACGTAGCGTGGCGCGGCGTGGCGTAGGCGTGGCGGTGGCGTGCGTTGCGTGGGCGGTGGCGTGGGTGTCCGTGGCTGGCGTGGCGTGGCGTGGCGGCGTGGCGTGCGTGGTGGGGTGTCTCGAAGGGCGTGCGCGTGGCGGTGCGATGTCGTGGCGTGGCGTGCGTGGCGTGGCGTGGCGTGGCGTGGCGTGGCGTGGCACGGTGTAATGCGATGCGGTGTGGTATAGCTTCCATGCAACAGTACACTCCGAACGTCGTGGCCCCTGAAAATATTGTTGTGCTAGAAAATGAACGGCGTGACATACCTACTGGTTGCACTAGATATCAACCAGAAAGCTGCCATCGGTTTGTACATTTGCAACGAGAATTATAGACCTTTTATGGAATATGCCCCTTTATGGAATTGGACACGGTTGTTTACTGCATATGAAACGGTTTATCTGCTTCAATGCATACATGTACGCACCGTGTAAACCAATCTCATTTGAAAAATACTTATAACACGAAAAATCATGCAGACGTAGAAGTAAAAGCAGGCTTAAACGGGAAAACAAACTGCAGCCGGGTTTATAGGAATCGTCATGCCATGTGTGAAAATTGCAATGTCATTCTAAGCCGCTCTATATTGTCAACTGCGTATATTGTACGAGCAAATATTAAAAGCGGCGCGCAATTGTGAAACCGTGCATGTAACCTTTTAGCAACAGCAAAGTGATTGCCTCGTTAATTCACGAGTATGCGTGTCTTCGCTATATGGTGTACGACAGTTCTGGGTGACTCGATAGTCTCACATATAAGCTGGATATTACTATCACAAGCAATTTGCTTGCAAAGTGTTACGCAGCACTCTTGCAGTAATTAGAATCGCGAAAATGCGCCTTGCAGCTAACACGTCCAGATATTTATATCTATCATTTTTCTTCCAGATATACATACTGGCTCATTTTATCATGGATGGAGTCTGCGTGCTTTGGCGAGGCTACATCGACGTTGACAGTTTAAATGGAATTGGAAAACTGGAATTTGATGAAGAAACTGCTCAGGTATGCTACTTCCACATGCACTTGGAACGTCTCAATAAAAAGAAATAATGGTTAAATAAACACGAAATGTATTTACTACCGAAAGTCTAATGTTCTCTAAACTGCTATTTCGCACTATAATCAGCTGTAAATGCCGGTCAAATGCTCACTGCAACCACACAAGTACACCGCACGCTAGCTGTTGCACACTGACACATAAATATATAGTCTATATAGACTATTATATAATATAATTATATATCTATATAATATATATAAATATAAAAGATAATATATTAATAAATAGTAGGTCTATATAGACTGGATATATATTACATATATTATATGTCATAGATAAAATATAATACGTCATAATATACGTTTCATACAGGCTATATATTTATGTGTCAGTGTGGCACAGCTAGCGTGCGGTGGCCAGCCACCGCACCGCACCGCACCGCACCGCACCGCACCGCACCGCACCGCACCGCACCGCACCGCCCCGCACTGCACCACCACGTACCGCACCGCACCGCACCGCACCACCACGTACAACACCGCACCGCACCGCACCCCATCACACCGCACCGCCACGTACAACACCGCACCACATCGCACCGCACCGCACCGCGTCGCACCGCCACGTACAACACCGCACCGCACCCAATCGCACCGCACCGCACCGCACCGTACCGCACCGTACCGCACCGCACCGCACCGCACCGCACCGCACCGCACCGCACCGCACCGCACCGCATCGCACGATCTCATACACGTTAGTCTTCAATCTGCGATTCTTCGGGCCAGCTATGGAGAACGCGTAGCGTATTTCAGCCGCGTATTGTAACGGTAGCACGACACACACCTGTCCGACACACTCCGTGATTTCACTCCGCACCTGTAATCATCGTTACTGCCTACGCGTGCCCTTAATATACACCTGCGTGGGCCACTATAGTCAGCATTATGACAAGTAACATAATATTATACACAGGAGCAGTGGCTGTCAAAGAAAAGGAGTGTCAAATCTGACCGACGAGGAAAATTGCGGGGTTGCATGTAATTTCACGACGCCAGTACAGAGTGCAACACGGTTGTGGTGATTTACAATATTTCCCGATATATACCGAGTCGACGCTATTCTATATTATACAGAAAAGAGTAATAGGAACTTAAACTCAAAATAAATCACGTTAGGCATGCTTTGTCTGAGGGATGCACACACATTGATGTCGCATATAGGATTGCGTCCAACATGATTGATTCAATATACGAGGCAACGCATTACATGCAATGCTATACAACGCGAGCAAAGGGTTGCGTTACGGTTGTTATGAGAACACCTTGATGCGATTTAATGTAATGCAGTATAACGTTCTGTAATGTAATATAATGTAATTTAAAGTAATGTAATGTAATGTAATGTAATGTAATGTAATTTAAAGTAATGTAATGTAATGTAATGTAACGTGGCGTAACGCGTTATAATGGAATGGAATCTATTCACAGCAGTAGTATCAACATCAGTAAACACGACAGTAGTGGCGACACGTATGATCACGAACACACGAGCCGCCAGTAGCATCAAAACAAAGAAAACTGCTTATTTACGTCTCCCACGTCTGCCATTTGACTTTGCTCAATGAGCTCACTTGCCGCGACCCCCTATTATGCAGCCGGTAAACACAGGTGACTCACGCATCTGCGCTGAGCGAACGATACCTGTAACTCATCAACCTTTTCCACCTGTCAGGTAATTTTCCTCCTGCTGGTACGAAACCTAATATTTACCTTTGTATACGCCAGCACGCGTTGATAGCTGCGCTACTCGGCCGGGAGATAATATTCGCTATCAATTCGATAATAGCAGGAGATAATAGGTAACTTAATCAAGATCACAAGCGTTCGGGTCCAGCTATGCACGAGGGCTTTGGCATTTCGGCCTGATCAGCGGCGCGACACTCGGATTGACAGTAGCAGTAGCAGCGTGCAGGTAGCGCGGGTCCCTGGATGCGCGCACACTTCGCCGACTGGCTCATGCGTGCACGCACGTGTATATGTATATGTATGTGTATATATTATGTATATGTATATGTATATGCATATATTATGTATATATATGTATATGTATATGTATCTGTATATGTATATGTATATGTATATCTCCTGTGTATATGTATATAAACAGGTCTGTGTATAGGTAATATATACGCGTGCGTCTCACGCGTTAGCGCGTTGCTACCACGCCCCGCTGCGGCCATCCAGACCAGTAGCCACCTGCAATGAGCAGAATGCCCTCAACTATTCAAAGTGACAACATATTAACGCCAATTATGGTATTAGCCGCCACGGGATGAAACTTCATCTACCCTGCTCCGCGACACTCGTCGCTGAATCTGCACCGTCATCTAAGCAGGCGGACATGACAGAGAATAAACCTCGATGAGCATCCAGGTAGCTGATGGCGAACTGAACACCTGTTTCGAGAGTAATCGCTGTCGTGTATAGCTCTCGCTTCGAGAGTAGCGATTCCTAAGAGGTTCTGCTGCGGAGATAACGTCGAGGGATGAAGTGTAGCGGAGAGCGCAAGCAACAATGCGCGCCACACCTGGGTAGGTATCAGGCAACCTCGATCACTGCTCTGTTAGCGTCCAGCGTAAACTCGGGGGAACGCATATCTATCCGTCCGTCCGTTCTGTCTGTCTCGTTGTCTGCCTGCCTGCCTGCCTGCCTGCCTATCTGTCTGTCTGTTTGCCTGCCTACCTGTCTGTCTGTCTGTCTGTCTGTCTGTTTGTCTGTTTGTTTGTCTGCCTGTCTGTCTGCCTGTCTGCCTGCCTGCCTGCCTGCCTGTCTGCCTGCCTGCCTGTCTGCCTGCCTGCCTGCCTGCCTGTCTGCCTGCCTGCCTGTCTGCCTGCCTGCCTGCCGGCCTGCCGGCCTGCCGGCCTGACTACCTACCTGTCTGTCTGCCTGCCTGCCTGCCTGCCTGTCTGTCTGTCTGCCTGTCTGCCTGTCTGGCTGTCTGGCTGTCTGTCTGTCTGTCTGTTTGTCTGCCTGCCTGCCTGCCTGCCTGCCTGCCTGCCTGCCTGTCTGTCTGCCTGTCTGCCTGTCTGGCTGTCTGGCTGTCTGTCTGTCTGTCTGTTTGTCTGCCTGCCTGCCTGCCTGCCTGCCTGCCTGCCTGCCTGTCTGTCTGCCTGTCTGCCTGTCTGGCTGTCTGGCTGTCTGTCTGTCTGTCTGTTTGTC